TTATGGGTTTTTCTCATTTTTTTTTTTTTTGAATTATAAATAACGAAAGACCGATAAGTCACAATTATTCTTGATTTTGAATTAATAATCTAACTAATGTATAAACAAAAATAATTATGTATGTAGATAATTAAAAAATAATTTGGAAAATATTACAGAACAATCATTTAGCTTAATTTAAGAGTAAACAAATTTTCAAATTAAAGTGAATATTTCATGACGTTTAGTAGATTTTTTTAGTAGATTTTTTAAAATTAATAGGTTTTGCATCTTCACATTTCTCTATCTCTTAAACCAATTGATAATATTGAATTTGTAATATTTCTGAATATTTTCAGCATGCTTTTCTATGCTAAAATTCAAAAATTTTAATTTTAATGACATTGTCATAATACTTAATTCACATTTGTTATAAATTTTTAATAATTTTGAAAAATTTAAGTAAGTATAATAAGAGCAATAATTTCATAGATTTTCACCACAATTAATAATATAATTCACCAAATTATATGTATTTTTAAATTTATAAATTAAAAAATACATATATGGATTATGAATATCTTTTCGAATATTACATAATAAATTGGCGATATTCGAAAAAAACATACAAACAATAATTGCATTCCTTATAATTTTTTCTCTATATAAAACTAAAAATATAATAATGTTGTATTTTTTCTCTCTCCAATTTTCAATTGATTGATTACTGATTTTACCAAATAAATTTTTATAATATTTTTTTTTTTTTCTATATTTAATATTTTATTATTGAACTAAGTTTATTGAATTTAAAATATAATTTATTATTAAATCTAACAAATCCAAATGTATAATATTATACGATTTTAGTATTTTTCTCAGAAATAATTTCTTCATACATACATACATACATATAAAAAAGAAAACAATAATTTTTTGTTTGCACCATAGGAGACTTTTTTCTTAGTTTTCTATTTAAATTTTTTTTTCAAATAAATAATATGATTATACACTGGTTTACATATTTGTGCAAATCCAAATAGGAATATTCATCATCATAACATTTAGCTTAAAATCTTATATAAATATATAATATATACCTACATATATACATATATAATAATAACAAAAAATGTATGCTCAAATGAAACACACAAAACACAAAAACAATATTAGGTATATGTAAAATATTTTCGCATAGAAATTTACGAAAAAAAAAGTAAAATAAAAAAATAAATGAAAAAAATTTACAGGTGGTAAAATTGTGTACAATGTATATATATATATATATATATATATATATACCTTCATATGTGTATACTATTTTTTTCCTAAAATATTTGCTTAAGTTGGAAGAATAAAAAAATAAAATTTCAATCTCTTTTGAATCGAACAAATAACAAATTTTGTTTTTTATTACTTTTTTTTGTTGTTCTTATTATTTCTTCATTTTTACCAATGATCGCCATTAAAAAAGCTTGTCGATGACGTCAATGATTGTCAATATTGAGAATAGCTCAATAATAAAAAAAAAAAAAAAACAGAAGAAGAAAAATAATATAACAAATTCAAAAACTGATCACATCATAATTTTTTTTTTTTCAAAATCTTCATTTTCTAAGTATTTATCTATAAAAATGTGTATATATAGGTATGTAATGATAGTCATAATAAAATTTCTTTAACCATAATTGAAATTTTTATTTTAACATTGTTTTAATATACTTAGTTATTATAATAAATTTTACTTTTTAAAAATTATTATTAAAAATTATTGAAAAGAGAAAAAACTAAATTTTTTAAGGAACTTTTATTGGATGTATTGTGAATAATAAAACAAAAATGAAATAAAGCTGCACATAAAGATATTACTTTAGAGCTCAGGTAGACAGACAATTTGTATGTGAATTTAGGGCTGACACAGTCAATATGCAATTTATAGTTTTTGCAATCATTTCTTGATATTAAAATTGTTACGTTTTTGAATTGATAATAACTAAAATATTGCTTTGATTGCAATCGATTGCGTTAATTGAATTTGTAATCAATTTGTAAAAAAAAAAAATTACAAACTGTTTGATATTTTAGTTGTATGCGATAATAGAGTTTAGTTGTATGAGATCATACATGTAATTAAACAGTTGCAAAACAAAAAAATTGCATGTCCGCCAAAACCCTTAATATTTTCAATAATCAATTGAATTGCGACTAAAAAATATTCAATTTTGCCAAAAATTCAATTGCAATTGAATTTGTACAATTATCAATCAATAATTAAAAATTGCATACATCTGGGGACAAATTTTAATAAATTATTTAACATTGTTGCAATTGCCAGGATTTTGAATATAATTATATTTTTTAATTAATATATAGTATAGGTATTTATTGTATAACAATTATACATTTTTATTTAATATACACAATATAAGATGTAAAATACGAGTATAATTATTTCTTATAATTATAAAGAAAATGGTGACAACTTTTGGATATTTAAATATTATAATATAAAATGTGTGAAACTATAATTAATAGCCATAAAATTGTTTTATTTAATCGAATATTTGAACATTTAATTCAACCTAAAATTATATTTAAATTATTTTGAGTATGTGATAAAAATATTGTAATAAAAAAGTTATTGAGCAAATTTATAATTACTAATCAAACCGTTTACAAATAAAAAAAACAAGTTTTTCTTTTTAAACTATATACGGTCATTGAAATAGTGCGTTAATTATATTAATTAAATTAATAAAAAAAAAAGCAGAACAAAAAACAATTAATTTAAATTTTTGTTTTACATAGCTACTTTAATAGTATTTTAAAATGAATGATTAACGCACTAAATATAATTGCATATTTCTAGGTAACACTTTTTTAATAACTATAATTATTCATTAGATAATTTGTATTACTAACCAATAAAATTAAGAAAAGTGATTACATTTCATTTAAATTACTAGGATGTATAATTGAAATAATTTGTTATACGTTTTATTATTCATACAAAAATGCCTATATATACAAAAATAAACTTAAATATTATCAGATACTTAAAATAATTATAATGCGAATTTATTTAAAATTATTGGTCATTTTATATTTAGTCCAAACTGTATTTTAATATGCAAATTAATATATTTAATGGAAAAACATGAAGGAAAACATGTGCATATGAAAGAATAATTTCGAATTCTATAAAAAACACTTAATTTATAATTGTATACATTTACAATAAAATATAAAAAAACAATACGGTAAAATTTTGCATTTAATAATTTATTGGAAAGAAATATAAATATTAATTTCTGTATAACACTTATTAAATAAATTTTTCATAAAAAATGCATTTTAAACAATATTTATTTTCTCATATTGTTAAGTGTAGTGCAAAAGTTCCGAAAAAAATTTGTATAACAGTTTCAATAATATTGTTTCTGTTAGGCTATTTTGTCAAAAATTTTTTTGATTATTTAATTTAGAAAACAATGTAAGGGAATTTATTACATCAAAATCTATTAAAATTCTGTTCTGTAACTTTTGCAAAATAATTGGATCTAATAAAGAAATTCTTATAACATGACCCAAATTTCTAATATTTTAAATGTGTTATATTACATTATGTAGTATTGGTTCGTTTTCGAAAAAGTATGTAGCTATTCTCATATAAGTTTTAATAAGTCTCAAAACAGAAACTGTACTCATTATAATCTTCACTTTTAAACAGACAAACAAAAATAAAATATCCGAAAAATTCCAATTTACATATAGATTTAAAAATTATCTATACATTAAAAGTAAAAAAACAAAATTATAATCGGCATTTGATTTCTTAAAGAATAAAATCTAAAAAAAAAATTTTTGACTTAATTTCAAAATAAAATCAAGTTAAAAAAATTTTTACGATATTTTCTTTTTTTCTTATTTTAATATTGCCGGTGTTTTAAGGTATTAATAAATTGATTAAACAAAAAAAAAAAATAGCAAGAATTCTCGTCTCTATAGAATTAAAAATTTTAAAAATTATCTAACGTCATATCTGCCGCGATCTTCTAAAAAATTTTAAATACCAAATAAGAAAATAGAAAAAGAAAAATAACATTAAACAAAAACAGTACAAAAATTCCAACATTTGAAATTTACCAAACAATCACATACCACCTATGTGTTGAGTTGAGAAGGAGAAGAGGGGAATTTTTAAAAGCTTTTTTTTTCTTCATCTATTATTTATACACATATAGAGTTGTTAAATACATTATTTTTTTTTTCAACAAAAGTTAAATATCATTGGAAAAAAAAAATGTGAAAATGAAAAATAACAAAATCTATAAACAAGCTTTCAGATTTGATCATTCCATTAGTTGTTAAGGTTCTGATTAGAAGGTCTTTTTCGAAAGCGCTTTCGCATCAACTCGTTTTATTTTTATTTATTTAAAAAAAAATTTATTTTTGTTGCAAAAAAAAAAATTACAAATTAAATATTCTATATTTTAAATATATTAAAAAAATATTCTAATTTATTTATTTATTATACAAAAATATTTCGAAATTATAATAAAAAAAAAATTGTTTTAATTAATTTATTATTTAATAAAAAAAAAAAAGAAAAACAAATGATATAAAAAAATTTTTGTGAAAAAAACATATAAAAGAAGTTCATCGACAAAACCAGAGGAATTTTTACTGTGTAAAAAAAAAAACAAAATAAAAAAAGCAAATAAATTATATGGAAAAAAAATTCATATATGTTATTTTTTGATAATGAATATAACAGTTTTCTACTAAAAACATCAGCAATTTTTATATTAATTACTATAAGTAATTATTAAAAAGTGACTATAAACACATATTGTGCAAAAATAAACTGTTATACATCGAAAAAAAAACTGTTATACACCGAAAAAAAAACTGTTATACAGTGAAAATTTTTCAAATTTAAAAAGAACCTAATTGAAAAATTCAAATTTCTAAGAAAAATAGAAAAAAAATCTGTTATATTTTTTGGATTAATCCTGTATAATACAATCAAATTTCGATTAAAAATCGATATACCTTTTTTGGATACTAATTTCGAATTAGAATTCTTCAAAGAAAAATAAACTTATATATAAAAAGTGGGTATGTTATTTTGTAAGTTCACATAACACTAAAAAACACACAAACATATTACACATGTCAAGAAACTTAAAAACAGTTTCTTTTTTGTCTAGTTTAATAATGGTTATGCCTAAAGTTAGAATTTTAATCTTTTATACTTAAAAAAAAAAAATGTTTTTTTTTTTGTCCATTCTATATCTATTAAATTTCATTTCTTTTTTTTTTATAGTCTCATTTATATTTTAATCATTAATATTGATTTAAAATATATGTAGGTAGCTATATACGTTTTTTGTATGAAGATTTACAAAAATTTCGCAGAATTTTTTTTTAGTCTGAACTAAATGAAAGTTATATATTTGGACATTTTTTTTTTCTGTGTTCTGATTTCTGTCTTAGTTCTTTCTTTAATATTAATATTCTAAATTTTGTGATTTTTTAAGGTTATCGGAATATTGTTGACCTTTTATTATAAAGAGAGGAATTTATAATAATTTTAAACAAATTTTTTTTCTTGATGTGATTTCTTCTATATACATAATATGTTACTACTTTAAATAGGGCTACAAAATCGTTGTCGAGGAATTTTTCTTGGTTTTTAATTGATTTTTTTTTTGCTGCTGCAGCAGATTGGAGTTGAATTTGAAATGTAAAAAAAAAAATATTGGTTGAGGTCGGATTTGAAAAGAACTTTCTTTTTATCGAATAGAATGTTTGTTATTTTTTCTGGGCTACAAAAATTTTTTAATATATATTGCATATTAATGCTTTGTTTTCATAATCACAAAAATTTATATTCAAAATACATAATTTGAATCTTTTAAAATTGTGTTTAGGAAGTATTTAATAAAAAAGATTCTATAGATATGGCAAATGAATTCTATAAAGATTTTCAATAACATTTCTATCAGATTCTTACCAAGCTATATGCAATTACTTTAACATGTTCAAGTCGTTGTATCATAAAACGACTTACATATTTAATTTTTACTTTAACATTTCATATACAAATATATACAAAGAATATTTTGTATAGAATATTATTGAAAAATATATATAAACATATTACATATTATTATTTACAAATATTCTCAATTCAAATGATATAAATCGATATTAGTATAGCGTGTTATAAAATCTAATTTCTAGATATGACAATGCAATTTTGACATTCGAAAGCCGTAAAATGTCAAATTAACGTATTCTCGATTCTCATTGAATTTTCAAATTGAAATTTGATCAACTACATTTTGTTTGTGTAGAAAGAGAAGTATATCGATTGATATAACTGCTGGAAAATATTTGTGATTCCATCATAAATTTAAAATCTTCGTACTATAAGTATATAAATTTTGCATTTAATGTGCAATAACCTAAAATGTATTTGAATTATCAACAATATAAATTTTAGGTTAGTTTTATACAAAACAAAAATATTACAAAATAAAAAAAATAATCTTGTATTTCACTTGTTCCTTTATCAAAATGCTTATACTAAATTCCTAAAATTTTTCAATAATGAAATTTTTGTCGCACCTTTAAATTCTTTCACCTTTTTGTTTTAAATTTCTTAATAAATAAAATATTCTTAAATATGGGCATTTTTGTTTTGCAATTGTATAAAAGACATAGAACATTGTAAGAACATTGTTTTTATATGCAGATACAAAATATATGTGGTAGCGAAAAAGACACCCCCACATAATTAATTTGCATATATATAGACTCTAACAATTAATTACATAGACATGACGATCATTAGGAAAAAAAAATTTCTAAATTTATTCAATTTATTTTTTTTCTTTTTAAAATATTACATTGCATCGTACATATTATATTTTGTCGTCAATGTTAAATAAGAATATTAAATAAGTATTTGTTAAAATACACGAGATACAAATTCTATATATACATACACATTATATATATATATATATATACTTAAATTAATGATTACAAAAGTTCCTAAATATAGATTTAATCACCGCGTAATCAATAAGCTTTTGTAGTAGCATTAAACTACAATTGAATTGTAAAAGGAAATAACTTTATTAATTAGTTATAGAAAATGTATTGTTTTTTTTTTTTCTTCTAATAATTTTAATTTTTAATATAATGAATTACAAATTATGAAAATTAGATTTTATAAACTATAATAATTTCAAATTGATTTTAACAATTATGCATACAAACGCAATAGGTGCACATAAGTTAAGAGAACTTTAAAACTATATAAAGAAAGTATTTCTTATCTGTATAAAATTGAATAGATTAATCGGGTATTGGTTCCGTCTTTTAATAATTTTTAATTAGATCAACTTAATTATTGTGAATTTTTTAATTCTATGTATTGAAATTCTAGAACTTTTTTCTTTTATTCTATATCTTGAAACTGGTTGAATAATACAAGAAATTTCTTTGTGTAAATTAAATAAGTTGGAAATCAAACAATAATTTCTGATTAAAACAAACAATTAAATACTCAACAATATTTAAATTTATTTAAATTTTTAACAAAAATTTATTTAAGTTTTTCTATCGCTACCAATTCTAAATTTTGTTTCCTTATTTTTTTCTTAATTTTAGATGTCACAATTAATGTCGGGAACAACATCTGAAACATTAACAAATTATACACCAGATTTATATTCTACATATGCTGATTCATTTGATTTATCATTATTATCAGCAAATGATAGAGACACATTATCAATATTAACAGGTTCAACAGTATCAGAAACAATTAAGAATCAATCACCGATACCATCACCAATTGATCCAATATCAACAGGTGATGATACACTTGATTTTATTCCAAAAACAATTTTCAATAATAATAATGATCAGTTAATGACCCTTCACAACAACAACAGTAATAATAATAATAATAATAATACAAATCAAAGCAGCAACAATATAAATTCAACATTATCATCAGACAATTTGACACCATCAACAATAATTAAAACAGAAAAATTATGGAATTGTGATACAACAATTCAATTACAAAATAATAAAAATTCATCAACAATTATTGATAATAATAATTATAATATAAATTCTCCAATATCAAATTCTACAACACTACAACAATTTGGACAAGATAATCAAAATTGTAATACATCAGTTGCTGCTGCATCATTACTTTTTCAACAATTACAAAAACAATATCAATTTTATCCATCACCATTACCGAGTCCACCACAATACGAATTCTGTAATTTAAATAGTGTATCATCATCTATTAATTATAGTTTATATAGTCCAGCATCATCAACATTATCACCATCACCTTGTCCATCATTGGATCAACAACAAATCAATACAAATAATATAAATTTTGGTGGTTCAACAAATTCTTTAAATAATCCAATACAAAATTTTATACCACAAGTAAAACAAGAATATTTAATATTACCACCATCACCACCAGAATCTAATGGTTCACCATCACCATCATTAAATCAAGAAATTAAAAGTGAACCTGGTGATAATGAAATTGAAACAAATTTAATTGAAATAAATATTTTGTTAGAGAAAACTTTACAAAATTTAGAAGAGGAAAATCAAAAAAATCAAAAAAAAGAAGAACAAAAATTACAAAATAATCAGATAAATCAAATCCAACAACAACAACAAAATATTATATCATCGGCTCCAGCACAAGATCATCAATTGTTAAGAGAATATCTTCAGGATACATCATTCCAAAAGAAACACAATCTGAAACCGTTGGCACTGGAGTCGTTGATTGGTGGCTTAGGGGTTCGTGGTGATATTGAACCAGTTATCTCATTAGCATTAGAACATGCTAAACGTGATGCACAAGCTACATGTGCTCAATTACAGATATCACCTGGTAAGTTAAACTAAAAATTTAAATTATACTTTTAATAACACTATCAGAATTTCGAATATAAAAAATTATCTTTTGTTATAACATATAATTTACAAATTACGTCATAATATTGAAAATTTATGAAACGTGATTTTCACTTTTCACTAAAATAAATAATACACACATATACATATATGTAATCATAAATCACTTAATTAAACAAATAAATCAAATATCATGTTAAAAAATAATTTTCAATTCTTATGTCAATTTAACATATTATTATGTATGTATAAATTATACAAATATGGCGGGAATAATGAAAATATTTTTTGAAAATATCATAAGATTCTAATCAAATATTCTAATATCTTTGATATTATTTACAATTTAGATTTTATTTCGTCACGTATTTCTATCTTAATTGAACATTAAAAGTAAATAGTTTTAACTGGTTTCAGAATTACTTTGGATTTCATGATTTTTTTACATACATACATAATATGTATAAGTATGTATATGAGCAAGCATATACTATATTATATACATTAATTATGTATTAAGTTCAATTGTTACTTTTGTCTCTAATGAGCTTTTCCATTTTTTCTTAAATAAATTATTCTTAATTATCTCTACAGCTAGCTCGCACCAAGTCAAATCTTTAATTTCATTTTCCATAACATTTGTATACTCTTTTTTATTTTCTATTGTTGATTAATGTTTATACATGAATATTGTGAATTAGCAAAATAATATTTTCATATAGTTTACAATTCGATGTACATACAAAATATTGAAAGTTTTTTAAAAGTAAATAAAATTTATATTGATAATTCTTTAAATAAATAAACAGCAAATTATAATAGAATTTTCTACGTGAACATGATTTTGCAAAAAAAAAAATTTTTTCCTATTTTAAAATTTGCTTTAAATAAACTTTTATTATACAATATTTACAAATAAAGTTTTTTCTAGAATCAGAAAGCATAAGTTTCCAAGTCAATACTTATACGAGAATGTTTAAAATAAAATGTAATATTTCTTGTGAGAGATTTGAGAGATTTTAACTTTAATATGTCAACACTGCTAATTAAAAACTTACTGTAATCGTAACAAAAAATGTTCATATGGAAAATAGTATTGAAAAACGTCAAAATGTCATTAAAAATTGAGAAATCAAAAATTCATATTGAAAACTTCAAAATTTGATTAAGCTTTAAATTTAATTTTTACTATTTGAATTCAAAGTTTATTTTATATTTATTAATTTATTAATTTTTATAAGACATTTTTGCTTAGACCGAGTATTCAGAACTGTACCACAATTACAAATTTCATTAATCGTAAGAAATTATCATCACTTTCTAAGTTCAAACGATTCTAAGTAGAAATGATCGGCGGCGGGTAATAAAAAATTAATAAAATATTAAATATATGAGAGATTATGAAAAGATACTGAAAATAATTTTAATAAGTGTTAATTTATTAGTTTAATGAATTGCTAATATAGAATTTAATTTAAAACTTGCAAATTATAATCAAGCCCGTACTTACGAGTATATATTAATTTGACAATAACAATTTATATCGCATACATGAAATTATCACATTCTTTATAGTTGTATAACACTTACCCATATTGCTGCAAAACTATATAACAATTCAAAAAACATCATTTATACCGCATACATGAAATTATCACATTCTTTATAGTTGTATAACACTTACCCATATTGCTGCAAAACTGTATAACAATTCAAAAAACATCATGTTCTAATTAAATAATTTTTTTTTTTTTTTTAATATACAGATCCGCAACAATGGACCACAACTCAAGTACACGCATGGCTTCGATCCACCATTGAACAATTTAAATTACAACAAATCAATGAATTGGAATTAAAATTTCCCGAAGATGGAATTAATTTATTATGTTTAACTGAAGAAGAATTTATAAGACGTGTACCTGAGGTAAATTTTATACAAAAAAAAAAAAATTATTTATTATAAAAATTATAAATTGTTATTTAATTGCATAAAATTTAAAATATAATTAATTTTAATTGAAATAAATGTACATTGTATATAAGACCTAATTTCAATCTAAATCAAAATAGAAAATATTTTCTTTACATATTAAAAAACAGAAAAAAACAGAAAAAAACACAAAATCAAATTGTGCTCTAAATAAAGACATAAAAAGTTCGAAATAAAGTCAATCACTTTGGAATTTAAATGAAAAAAAAAAAAATTTGTAATAATATTAAAACTTTATTTTTTATTATGCCAAAATCTACATTAATAGTATGTAACGATGTACACACTGATTTATAATTTAATGAAAACAAAAAACAAAACAAAAAAAAATCAAAAAAGTAATCAAAAGAAAGTACGAGTGTAGTTACAATTACGACAAAGAGAGTACATATAAGAAAAAAAGAGAAAAAAAAAACCTCTGAAATGAAAATTACTGTACTGGCGGTGGCACAGTAAAAAAAAATATTTTTTTATTATTTATTTCTTAATTACCACAAAATCTTAATTGTATTGTAATTATTATGAGAAAAAAAAATTAAACAAGATGAAAAGAAAATTTAATATTTTTCAATGCACTTTTAATACACACTCGTTTTATATTTGCTTTGAGCACTCGTTGCATACGTGCAACAAAAAAAATTTTTGCTTTTTTTTTTGCAAATGCAGTAAAAATAACCATTTAACACTATGACTCAGTTGCACCTCGCAAACAACAATAATAAAAATAATAAGAAATGCGTTCCATACAATAATTATGTTATTGGAGCCTTTATATATGTATGTACAACATAATAAAAAAAAAATATTTTTTGTGTTAAAATATGGAAACAACAACAAGAATTCATTCAACTTCAATTTAAATTAAATTTTTTTTTTTTTTGTGAAAATGAAAAGTTCATTTTCGTTTCGTTTGCTTTCGTTTCAAATCCAATTTATCTACATACATATATATGTGTGTGTGTATGCAATTATTTTGTTATATTTTTGCTAAAAAAATTAATGTTAATTTGATATGGAAAATTTATAGTTTACCTTGCCATATTATAAAAATCTTAAATTCAACCTTGATTATAAAAAGTAAATGAAAGGAGAAAGAAAAATATATATATGTACATATATGTATGTATGTATGTATATAAAGCAGCAACAATACTGCATATCTGAAATTTGAAAAATTAAAATCGCTGAAAAATTTACATGTAAAATAATTTATAATACAGTAGAATACACGAAAAACATAGCCATTATGTAAATAATTTGAAGATTTATTTATTTATTTAAGAAAATGTGATTGGGAAATTTGTTTACGTTCCCCTTAAAACATCCATTTTATCAACAATTTTTACATGAAATTTACGGGAAATCGAAACTTTTTCGCTCATATTCAACAATTTTTACCTGTTTTATAATGTCATTTGCAAAATTACATGTCAAAAAGCAGTAAATGTCATACAATTATTTCTTGATTAATTAAAAATTTAATTTTAATAATTCTCATTCTCTCTTATTACGTCATACAGATATTATATCATATTACGTCATATAAATAATTTTTGTTTAGGCACAGTGTTAATAACTTAACATTTATTAAAAGCAAAAACCTTGAAATTATTCTCAACTTCCCTCTTTAATCTCTTTTACAATATTCATTAAATCGAGATTTTAATGTAGGTATATATAGACAATTATTTTATATTTTTGATTTTGTCGACCAACAAGCTAAATACAATCTAAAAACTAACCAACTTTCATACTACAATATCTCAATTTTAATAACCTCCCTTACCGTTTACACTTTTAATTTATTTTGAATTTTTTTTTTAACTCGGTTTATGTGCGTTCAGTGCACTAAATTGGATGAAAATGTAAGCAAAACAAAAATCCAAAATAAAATCTCTTTTTTTTTTTGTGTTATTATTGTTGTTGTTATTATTTTTCTCATTATGGCCAAAGTCGTTTTTTTAATGCTCCATCAAAAGTGACTGCTTTTAATACGCGCCAAAGTTCACTTTCACCTTTTTACTTATAAGTGAATATGCATACATATGTATGTATGTACATATATGCAAGTAAGTAAGTAAGTAAAGAAGAAAAATTTTTTGTTTTTTTTTTGTTTTTGATTTTTTATTACGGAGAGAAATTAATTTTTATTCGTTCGATTTTATGAGTGTGTTACGATGAACAAATATTAAAAAATATTTAAATAATGTATACAAGTAGTATAAGTAGGTATATATGTATATAAATATGTAAAAAAAATTTTTATTCATGAATAAAAATTACATATTTTCAATTGAAATTCGGATCCTCTCACCTTTCCGTTGTAAAACCACAATTTTTATATATACGTACATAACCTACCTACTTATGTATACGCGTAAGTGTGTATTTAAATATTTATCTGTAAATATAGGCTCATTAAATAATTATAGAATATGTTTTCAATCTGTGACTCTGTGATATTGCACATACATACATGCTTCAGTTATCACTGCTTTATATGTGTAGTGTACACACATGTATATGAGTGTTACCATCGAAAACAAAATCGTTATTGATTTTCTTGTTTTGGAATTTTGTTATTACGAAAAATTTTTATTATTATTTTTGTTGTTTGTTTTTTTTTTTTTTTGGTTTTTGTAATTTTTGCAAATGGAAAATTAAAATTACTTTTTGCCATATTTTTAAAATTTAGATGATGGTATGTAAATTGGGTAAAATTGTAAAAAAAAACATTCATTGCAGATTTAAATTTATATTTTTTATATTTTGCAATAAATCGTAAAAATTTTAGCTAATCTTAAAGAAAACAGGGTAATATGGGAGTAGTAAATTTAAATTTGAAAACAATATTCTGAACAGGCATCGTAACTTCTAATATTTAGTTTCAAAATCCTATAATTTCTCCAAATTTTTCATAATATTATGCAATTTATAGCAATTATATAAATTAAATTATTTAAAATACTAAAAACTCAGGCTTGCTTAAGTAGTTTTTAAAAAAATTCATTTTAATTTTTATTTCTTGTTTAAAGTCTGGAGCAACAATACATGCTCAATTGGAAATATGGAAATTGGCTTGCTGTGACAATTTTCTAAATGATATATTTCCAGCTGGTCCATCAACAAGCAGTAATTTGAATAACAATAATAATGATACATGGCCAACAAAAGAATGTGACATGGACTTTACTGATGGTAAGAAATTTTAATAATATATTATAAATATAAATTAAATTTATTTTGAAAATAAATATTTATGCATAAACATTTCTATATATTCTCATTTTTCAGATGAAGATGATGATATGGATCATCAACAATCAATCACTACATTAGATTCATTAAATTCAAATGAAAATGGTCAACGTACATTAATAACAAATTTATCAACATCAACTGATTATAATACATTGGGAAATCTATCACAAACAACAGTAACACAATCAAATAATAATATAACAAATGCAGGAAATGTTACAATTACACAGGCATCAACAACAACAACAACATCATCAACAGCAACAACAACAACAACAAATGCTACTACAGTTTCAACAAATTCATCAACAAATAATACACCAACAACACCAAAAACACCACGTACCGGTGGCTCTCATATACATTTATGGCAATTTTTAAAAGAATTACTTGCATCACCACAAGTTCATGGTACAGCAATACGTTGGTTAGATCGTAATAAAGGTGTTTTTAAAATTGAAGATTCTGTACGTGTTGCTAAATTATGGGGACGTCGTAAAAATCGTCCAGCTATGAATTATGATAAATTATCACGTTCAATACGACAATATTATAAAAAAGGTATAATGAAAAAAACAGAACGTTCACAACGTTTAGTTTATCAGTTTTGTCCACCATATAGTGGATAAGAACACCCAAAAACAAATATAAATTTTAATACTTAAATGACAAAATAATTATTTAATTTAAATTTTAATATTAATTAATTTTTTTTTTTTTAAATATCTATTAAGTGTCAAAAAAAAAAAAATTCTATATTCCTTTGTAACTTATTTATTTTTTTCTAAAAGATAATCTCAAATTTTGTGAATGTGTGAGTGTGTCAAAATTTTCTAACATTTTCATATATTTTTTTTTTTTTTTGTGATGTTTCCCAAATGTGTCATAAAATGTCCCAAATAAGTTTAGATTTAAAATAATATTAAAAAAAAAAAAATTGCGCGCGCTACTATAAAATTTATATAAAATGTACTACAAAATTAACATATATTTTTATATACATATATTTTATATACATATAAAAATATAAATAGGTATATATACATATATTTAAAAATGTTAATTTTTATATAAAAAATTGTCAAAAATATAATTTTCTTATAATAATAAGAATGACAATAATTAAATTCGCTCTTAGGAAATTTTTAAGTTTTCAAAACATTAAAAAAAAAATTTCCCAAAAGATTGTGAATCAAAAAAAAAAAAAAAAGAGAATTAAATTCAAAAATTAATATTTGACAACATCAAAAATATTAAACAAATCAGAGAGCATCATATAATTTAATAAAAAAAAAAAAAAACAAGAAATATTTGCAAAATATTAATTTTCAGTTAGAAAATAATATTTAAGCAAATTTATTTAAAAATAAAAAATTTCAAATTAATTTGGTTTTCTAATTTTATTAAATCGAAAACAAAAAAAGAATACAAAAAATTTCCTCGACGAAGGTAATTTCGGAGGTATTTTTTTTTTCTTTCATTTTTGTTTTCAAATTAAAAATTATTCAAAAAATAAAATTATGACAAACGTAAAATTATTTAAAAATATAAAAAAGAACAAAAAAAAAAAATGATGCGAAAAAAGAAAATTATTTTTACTTATTTTTTTTTTTTAATTATTTTAATTTATAATTTTTAATTTTTCATTTATAATTTTTGTTTTTTTTTTTTATTTTTTTTTAAATTTTTATTTTAAAACATTTTTTTTGATTTACCAAAACCAATACTTTTCTTTTTCTTTTTGTCTATGGTTTTAAAAATGTTGTAACACCAAAATAGAATGGTAATGAGACTTTTTATAATTGAACAAATTTTTAAAATAATTTTGAAAAAAAAAGGCAAGAAATGCATGATCGGATGATTTTTTTAAAAAAATTTTATTCATTAAATTGGCTCCCATTCTTAACGTTATTCATTTTTAAAACAAATAAATAAAATCAATTAATTAATTAATAAAAAAAATTAAAAGAAAAGTATGGTACGGTAATTTTGGTCCCATATATCTATGATATATTTATTATGGTAAGTTCTATGAACACAAAACAATTGTTTATGATAAGAGAAAAAGAAAAAAATTAAATTTTTTTTTTTTTTTACGAAAAATGATATTTAAAATCAACGAATAAAAGAAAAAAAAAATAATAACAAAATAAAAGAAAATAATATAAAATTTATAAAATATTTTAAAATCAATGATTTTTTTTTAAACGTTTTCAAAAATAATTAAAAAATTATTGATTTTAAAAAAAAAATTCTAACAACATATATATTGGTTTGCAAACCCTTTTCGAAAAATTTTATGAATTCATATTAAATAATACAAAAAACAAAAAAACATTTATAAAATTTATTATTAATTAATTTTATTTTATATATTTATTTAATATTTTATATAAATTATAAATTAAAATTTATATAACAATTAAACTGAATTTAAAAATATATGAAATAAAAAATAATTAAAAATAAATTTTTGAATTTTGTATATAAACAAAAATAAAATACAAAATTTTATTTAAATAAGCACTTAAATACTTAATAAATATTAAAATATTTAATTTTAATACATTATACATTTAATTATTTTAATAAAGATCAATAGTTTTTGTTTTTTTTTAAATTATTTTAAAATAGACTCTCTTAAAAGAATTTTTTTTTATTTATAAAAAAAAGAAACTAACATCAAAACTAAAAATTTGAGCTCAAAATAACAACAAATTAAAATATAAATAATGTAATTACAAAAATTAGATAAAAATGAAAAAAAAAATTCTTTTAAAAGACTCTAATTTTTAATAAAACATTGTTAAATTATTTTTTATTTTTTTTTTTTTAATTTAAATACCATAAAATATAAATAAATAATTTAATTTAATTTTTTTGTCAATTTTTTTTATTAATATAAACTGGTGTTGGATTTTTTTTTTTTAAATATTTATATTTTAATTCAAAAACAATTAAATTGTTAATTATTATACAAAAAAAAAATATATATATATATATACTTTATATGGTTTCTTATTATTAAAAAAAATATCAATTAAGAAAAGATTATAAAAAATTAACTTTTTTTAAAATTGATTATTTTATGTGATTTAAGTGCCTTATGTAAGTTTATTTTTAGAAAAAAAAAATAATAATAAAATAAATAAGTTTAATTAAAAATCAATAATAAATATTTAATTTTTAAAATTAAAAAATTTAAAAAAAAACGAAAGATTTGTAATAAAATATTATATAAAATAATTTGTAAATATTTTTAAAAATATTTTTTCCGAGTAAATAAAATTTATTAATTTAAATTTGTAAGTGAATAATTTTTAAAATAAAAGGCAGAGTAACTGCCGACAAAAAAAAAAAACAAATTGCTATTATTTATTTCTATAAATTTATTTAATTTAAAAATTAAAAATAATGCCTTTCATATAATATAGATGTTATTGAAATTTTTTGTCTTATGTGATGTACTGTAACATTATAATTCTAAAAAAAACTCTTATTAATAACCTTATTTGATATCTCGATGATATCAAAATGAATTTTTCTCTTAAAATTGCAAGACTACTTACACATTGGTATGACGTATTGGGATAACGTATTTAATGCATTATCATTGTATCAATTATAAAGAGAATAACCAGTCTTATCATGAATTGCGTTCGTAACTCTGAAATTCGGAAAATTACGAATAACATAATATGATAAATTACGAATTACTAAAATTGTGCTCCGAAATATTTGTAATGAAGTAATCATTACCAAATTAATTTGTAATGAAGTAATCATTAATAGTAAAAATTACACTCAAAAGTCTACAAAAGAAATAATCAATCGTTACAAGCAATTTATGGAGAATAGACGTATTAAACTGAACATTTTAAAATTATTCTTAAGCTCTTTTTCAACTGCACTTAACTAAAGTACATTTTTTATCGCCATTTAATTTAAACTCATTTTAAAAATAAAAGAAAATATGTAGCTGAAACATAAGATTGAACCTTTTTAAAAATGAAACCTGCCTAATTTTGAAAAATTTAAATATAATTAAAAAAGGTAATGCATGTTATTTCGAAAATGTTGAAATGAGAATGAGAATACATGAAAATCTTCTGTGTACTTTGTCATGAACGTTTTAGATACTAATTAGAATTAAATTATAGAATTTAATTTATTGTGATTTAAGCTATTACACACCTACCTATGAAATATGAGAATTATTAAAATTTTTTAAACGATTACTAACAAGTAAGAATTAAAACATAAAATAAATTATTATTAAAATTACTGTAAGAAATTAAAATACTAAGTTGAGGATCGTTGATGCTGCAGAATTCTTAAGCTCGATATTGAATTAACCAAAATCCCATTTAATATTATGAAAAATAGATTCTTTTTAAAGTCAGCTAAAAAATAAATCAAACTAAATTCGAATTTTGATTTTAGAATTTTTTTTATTATTTAAATTAAAAATGTATATAATTTATTTTTATAATTATTTTCTAATCTAATATGTACCTTTACTAAAAATTTATTTACACAATAAAATAAATTTTAATTCTATCTGAACAAAACATTTTCTTAAATATGAATTAAAATTTATTTTTTGATTGATTTTTATTTTAATTATTGAATTTGTCGTATGAATTGCATAAAATAATATGAAATTACGATTTTCGTATAATATTCAAATTATTTTTTCTATCAATAAAGCGTAATTCGTTTGTAATATGAAAATTCTATATTTTATTAATAATGATGATTTCTTTTTTTTTGAATTCAATAATAAACAACAATATTATTTATTATTTATTTGTGACATTATTCATTAAAATTTCATTGAAATTAAAGCGCAATGATAATTTTATATATAAATATGGTATATAAATATTAAATTTATATTATATAAAAAAAAACATCAATTTAATATCGTACAAACATTTTTAATAAACATAATAAGTAACACAAACAAAAATAAAAAAATTATTTATACCAATAAATATTTGAAAATGCAAAAATTTCAATTAGTAAAAGCGAAAAAATAAAAATTAAAATCTAATTTAAAATTTAAAATTCTATATCCAATTTTTTAAACTTAATATAAGTATTTGAAATAAAATTGAATTTTAAATAAAATTTTTCAAATATTTTTAATATCTTTTTTTTTTTTTCGTTTAATTAAAATTCAGAATTTTGAATTGTACACATTTTATTTTTTTCTAAAAAATTTACTCTAACAACATTTTATAAATTAATATTTTATAAATTTTATTTTAATGCTTAAATTCTTGCATTTACATAATATTTATTCTTAAAACAATATTAATTTAAATAAATATCATGTTAATAAAAAATTATTGAAATATCTGCTTTGTTCATTTTGAGAATATTTTTTTTTAACTGGTTACAATACCATAACATTTTTTTTTATTATTTGGATATAAACACTGTATATATTAATAAAAATATTATCAAAACAATATTAATAATAACAAATGTTAACGCAAAACTGATAACTAAAATTTAAATTTTGCCAAAACACAGCCATTTATTAAATTTTCTATATTTTATTTTATATACTAATATAATTTTTGTTATTATTTTCAATAGAAGGTTTCTCATTTTTAATGTGAATTTAGTTCACTATAAAATTTTAGTGATTTTAAACTAATTTAGAAATTGTTGGTTAATCATATGTCTATAATCTATATGAATTTCCTTCGTTTTATATTATGCATATATATATATTTGAAAAATAATTTATTTTAAATATTTTTCATATTTCTTTTTTTTTTAATTTATTTTTAATTACTTTGGACAGATCATGTAACATTTAATAATAACACATATTCAATAATAAAATAATTTAAAATTAAAATGGTAATTAACGAGTATTATGGCAGTTTCTACACAAAGTAATTAAAATTAAATATGATTATTTAATCTTTTTACATAAATTTCAACTTAATTTTATTTAACTGAAAAAAATATGTATATAAATAATTTATATATAAAACTAATATAATATTAATAAAATATTACCGATTCAAATAATATTAAAAAAGAATATTTTAATTTAAAAATATTAAAAGAATATTAGATTAAGTTTAAAAATTGAAATATTTTAATAAAATGTACTACTAATATTTAGCTTTGTAGGTACAAATAATTATTAAGATTTTGTGCAAACTGGTAATTAAGTTTAAAAAATAGCCTAAGTACATTCTATTTATAATGTGAAACAAATACATTTTGGAACAAATTAAACAATTAATGTTAAAGTATAAAAACAAAAAAAAAAAAAAAAAAATATACACCTATTAAAAATGATTTGAATGGAATGAAAAATTTAATAGGAATAACAAAAATAGATTTTTTTCTTGATTTAAAAATATATAATTAAATAGAAGCTAAATTTCAAGTACTAAATAATATTGAAAATTTTAAAATTTCAAATTATTTTTCTTTTATTTACAATAAGTTTTATTTACATACATTGAAGTCTTAAATATTTTTTTTTTCAATTTATTTTTCTATACATAATATCTTTCTTCTCAATCTAAAATATATAAATCAAATATTTAATTGAATTTAAATTCAATTATTCTTACATAATTTTAATAAAATATAACATTAAATTCTTATACAATAAATTAAGACTTTTAAAATATTTGGTAACGTTTTACTTTTTTGTTTTTTTTTTTCAATAAATTCAAATGGTTTTCTATTTCTTTTCATACAAAACTTATTTGTTTTCTGCATAAACAAAAAATTAAATTTTATTGTAAATGAATTAGAAAAATTTTTCTACTTATTAAATAATATTTTTTTTTCTTCGTTTCTCATATAAAAAATACTAAGGAATTTTACTACAATTTACATAATTTTATTTTATTTTATATATTTTATGAGTTTGCGTTGACATTTATTTAATTATTGGTCTTTATATTTTGTGATTGTTGATAATTATAATTTGTTGTTTCTGGTATTTGCATAAACATACCATTTCTTGTATTCTCTTTAACATGATGATCAGCTTCTGATTCACTATAGTCACTACCAAATTCAGTATCTGAATTACTACCACTAAATAATTCAACTGGTGATCTACTATAATTTTTTAAGCTATCATTGTCCATTATTATATCCTCCATAGTATTGTTATTATTGTTAATATTATTAGTATTATTATTGTTATTATTATGATGTTCATATATGAAATGATGATTATAATAGTGGTCATTAGGATTCGTGATAAATACACCATCTAAAATATATAAAAGAAAAATAAATAGTTATAAATAAATTATTTAATTTTATTCAGCCTTTCAAAACTTAAATTAAAAACAATATTAAAAATAGAAGGCATTTTTTTAAATTAAAATTTGAAAATTAAAATCCCTAACAGTTTATGTAACAATAACTTACCAGCTTCTGCGCCATTCCAATCACATTCAATTAAATAATTTTGATGCGCTTGCATATTAACATTCACGGTATCATTGACAACATCATCAATAATAGTCAAATCAGCTGGAATATTACCCTCGGTTAAATCAAATATTTCGTTTACAGTTACTTTATTATGATCATTTGTATAATAATAAGCATAAACAGCATCTTGATGTGTTGAAACTTTTAATAGTTCATCATAAGTGTCATTGTCGTTATTTAAAATGCCGCTTTAAAGAAAAATATAAAATTTTAATTAAACACAATCGTTAAAAAAAAAAACAAAAATTTTCAAATAACTTTCATTTTGCAAAATTAAAACTTACAATTCATCATAAACAATAGAATCACATCTGTTTCTATGATATAATCCACCCATTGTATCAAATTCTGGCATATCTATTAACCCCATCTAAAATGAAAAACATTATTAAGAAAAATTAGAATTTTATAAAAACAAAAATAATCTTATACTCAAGATATTTTGAGCAACGTTAACTTACTTTTATTTTATTAATTAATTTTGTGTTAAGAACATCACCAAATTGAGATAAAATCAGTTCGATTAAATATCGTAATTGATTTGAAATTTTTGGTGCAGCAGAAGATAATCTAAAAATAATGCAATAATTTTGTTAATATTTAAATATTTTTCAATTAAAATTATTAATTTTACTTTGAAATTGTAAGTAAAAATATTTCAACTGGAAGAGTAGCTGGCAAAGAAATAATTTTTACACCACGATTCTTAAATAACCAATTAACAAGTCCTTTGTTTGCTTGATCAATATAAGATTGTATCACATCTAAAACAGTCTCTGGCATATTGGCTCTTAAAGCGTCCTGATCAAAAAAACAAAGAGAAAATTTCAATATAAAAAAATAATAAAACTTGATAAACAAAAAAATAACAAACAAACCTTTCTATGCTTTTTACATTCTCTGCATTCTGGATCAAAATCCTGAGTATCATTAATGCCTTCTGAAACAACAAATGTTGATTGTACAGCAACACAACGACGGCAACTTATCAAATTGTTTCGATGTAAAAATTGTAATGCATCATCGAATCCTTGCTGACAAAATTTCGATAAATATTCTGGACGTGGTGGAAATAGAATACGAACAAATCTATGAATATTTTGTGTTGAAATTTCAATTGATGTATTAGCCCAATTTAAATGAAATAATTGTGAGCTTTGATCTCTTGGACAGATATCACTTTCACCACAAAATGGACTAACTGTTATTGTATTTTCATCTAATATTGGTAAATTATCAGAAAAAGCACCATCCATATACCGGACCCCATGAAAACGTGGTGGAAGAATACCAGAAAAACCAGGTATAAAACATGCACATAATAATGCTTGTAAAAGATCTTCTCGACTATTGAATTGTGATACAATGACATTTTTACCATCATATACACGAGTCAATGAAATATGAAGGCGGCCGCTAACACGTTTATGTGCATCATCAGGTAAATGTTTTTGTAATCCTTCAAATAAACATGTTTGAATATTAAATGATGGACTAAATGGTCCTAATGAATGTTTTCTAGCTTCATTGACAACACGAAAAAAATCTGATGTCATTTCACCTGAAAATTTAAAAAATAAAAGATATCAAATAAAATTTCGAAAATAAAATATTTTAATAAAAAAAAATTGTAGGAAAAACTAAAAAATTGTTAAAATTCAATTTAAAACTAAAATGCCTAAAATGGTGTCATTAACTGTCAATTTTACATTAACCGTTATAATTTTTTCTATACTTGTTTTTTACAAACAAAAATTGGAACCTACCCAAAAATTCTTCAAATTTTCGTTACAAGTTACAATAGGAAATTTGCAGGGAATTTAGTACATGAAATGAGAAAATTTTAAACTACCTCCCAAATGTGTACAGACAATTTGTTTTAGTGCAAAAAGAAAATATAAAACAAAAAAAAATTTTAGTACAAATTTAAAAATTTTAAAATACAAAAAAAAAAACAATAATCCAAAACCAAGAATACAAAATTTAAATTGCATTCGGTAATGTGTGCATTTACTAAGTACAGAATAGTCTTAAAGTTGCATGGCGTACACTACTACCGAATGCAATTACCCAGGAAAGTTTTAAAATTTTTTTTTTACAATTAATATACCAAAATTACCTAATAAGTTTGGACGTTTTTCTTTTTGCATCATACTTAATCGTTTTAGTTGACAAATATTTAGGCAAGGATCTTTATTGTAAACTAATTTACTTAGATTTTGTTTTGCTATAAGTTTATGCATGTAAATACAAAAATTTTTATGAAATTCAATTATAAATTCTTACAAAAAATAAATCGAATAAATTTAACGTAAAAAAAATGTATGTAAGTCAGTAACAATTTTGAAATTTATTTGTAAATAATTCTGGAACCATTTTAAAAGAATCAATTATAAATTGAAAAATGGTTTGTAATTTTGTAAAATAAAATAAATTTTTGATATTTTTTCCAAAATGATTCACGGTATGCAGTAAGATAAAAATATTTTTAAATTTAGCACAATTTAGAACACATAATATTATTATTATCCTAAATATATGCAATATTTATATAATTTAGATTTTGCATGAATCATCCCAAAAATATGCAATAATACAATATTAATTTACCTGTCAAGTAAATAAGAATGTATATATTAAAAAGCTATTATGTACCTATGTATATATAAAAAGAATGCAAAAAAAAAATTACGATATTAAAGAAAAAACTTGTAAAATTAAGCAAAATTACAAAAAGTAAAATTTAATTACATAAGTATACAATACATATGTACATATTGTATGAATATTCATAAGTATGTATGTATATAAAATGTAAAAAATTGAATGCACTAAAATAATTTATGTATATATGCAAGATTATTATTATACATGTAATATTCTAAATCATTTTTTTTTTAAGAAAAGACTTATTATTATGCTTCCGATCTAAGGCACTCTAAGGCCAGTCTAAGATAATATTTTTTTTTTTTACCTCTGAATTTAAATTTTACCGCTCAACTTTAAAATATGTGTATGCTAATTTGTTTAGTTTAAAACAAGATTGTTAATTAACTATATACATAATTAAAAAACCCATAGGCACAATTAAATAATAATAACAAATCATACTAAAGCAAAAAAATTCTCTACTTGCTTTATGATTCACTACCCTTGATGAGGTTTGTTTGTGATTGTAAAAAATATAATGTCAATCTAAGGGTGACAATCTAAGGCTAAGGTAATGTCAATCTGACAAAAAGGCAAATATAAGGTAAAACTGACAAATATAAGGTATTAATTTGGCATATAAGGTAAAAAATTTCAAAATTGTTAAGCAGAGTTGTAAAGAGTTCAATGTCATCAATTTTTTAATAATATTGTTCTCTAATACAAAAATTACCGTATTTAATTATATTAAATTTTTAATATTATTAAAATAAACACACTAAATAATTTTTTTTTCTAACTTTTTATATTTATTATCCTTTGTATTAATATTTTCCTAACATGCATATACATACATATGTACATTATTATGTAAACATTTCAATGTAACAAAATTAAATTAATAAAAAAATTCTATTTAAAACACGTCATTTTCAAAATAACCTATTAACTTTCAATATGACTGACCAAGAAATAGAAAATATGGCATGACATATATTTTTTATTATTATTATTTTTCTTTTAAATAATAATTAATATTCACACTCCATTTCTTATCAACAAAAATTTCTAATACAAAAATAAAATTCATAAATTATTAGAATAATTATAGAAAAAAAAAATGAAAAGGAAAACGAATTTTTATTAAATCGAAAACTATACAAACAAAATTGAGTCCTTGAGATCAAATCAAATAAAAAAACAAAAATTAAATAAGTAGTAAGTAAAATTCACAAAATGCGTAATTTTTCTAAGGTTTCATAATAATTTTTATCATTTTTTCTAATAAAATACAAAAGATTATCTCAATAGGGGGTAATATTTTTTACTCATTACATACTCATTAAAAAATTTTATTATTTAATAAAAAATTATTTAAAATTGCTATTACTCGTGTACAATATATTATTTAGGTGTTATTAAAAAAAACCCTCTAAACCCCGTTTATATCTCCAGAATACAGGTTAATTAAAAGAAACTATAATAATTATAATTTTTTTTTTATTAGTTTATTATACTAGTTTAAGAGGGAAGAGAAGCGTTCTGAACGGGAAATGTTTAAGAATAATGCGCGCATTTTAAATTTTTTTCTACTCATATTCGTTATACATAATTGAACTTTAAAAACGTCACTAAATTTTTCGGAATTAGCAAGAACAATTTAAAGTTTAGAAGGTTTATGTAACAATTTTAATTTAAGATTATTTTGTGATAACAAAAATAATGTTATACATATGTACGTTTTTAAAAAAAAAAAAAATTTATGACCTTGAAAGATAAACTTTAAATTTTGATAAGAAGCTGGATAGTTCCACTTTTAGCATTTTAATGATTTTGATACGAGTAGTTTTATTTTTATGTTTTTTAAACTAAGTTTATTGATACCTAATAGGAGGTCTTTTCACAATGTTTTATAACGAAATTTAAGTGTGTATATGAATTGAAAAAAAAAGTGTTATACTCTTATCAATGCTCTTGAAATTTTTTTTATTTTATAATTTTGGTTTGTGTTTGTTTATTGGGTATTTAATATAAAATTTTTTGTATTGTTTAAAAGATTTTGAGTAAAAAAATAGTTTATATAATAAGAAAAATAAAATTTATGATCAATTGAAAATTTTATTATTGCAAAATTTTTTACATATACAACGTCATAGGAAGGTGATAAATTATAAAATTATTTAAATTTAATGCGTTCAATTTGCTTTTTATTGTACATAGCATAAAATTATTCGTAAATCGTACGCTAATAAAATTATAATTAAATAAAAAATTGAAATTGAAAATTTTATAGATTAAAATTAAAAGGTTTATTAACTATTTTGCGGATTAAGAACAAATACAATTATTTTAGTTATTAAATTATCAAAAATTTAAAGAATTATAAAGTATTATGCAAAATTTTAAGTATTTAATTAAAAAAAAGAATTTATTTCGCATGCCATATGCTTAATTTTTAAATCTTTTAAGGATTATAATTGATCTACATAATTAATTTCAATTGATAAGATATTTAATATAATAAAATATAGTTAATAGAATTTGATAAAATTTATTCGGAATAGTATACAAGAATAATTGAATTTTTATAGAAAAATTATTGAATATAAAATTTTTGAATGATTTGACACAATTACATATGATTAAGATTTAATACCCGACCTGAACGCAGTGGTTATTGCATTGGCCCTTTAACAGAAGGGTCTAGGGTTCCAAGCCCACTCAATCACTATAAAAATTATATTCAATATTATATAACTTTATACACATTGCATTAAACATATTATACATATTAACCAATTGCTATATTTCAATAATATCCAACAATTAAAAATACCAGCAAAATAAATAATAAATATCAATAATCTTAAATATTTAATATAAAACTACGATAGGCTCATCACCAACCTAATATTACTAAAATGACGTAAGAAAGTGGTGTTCATGGTTACCTATAATATTGTGAACCAGCCCTATGCTCCGCTCCTCCCAGGAGCGAAATAGGAATAAAAAAAAGATTTGATTATAAAAAATGTTTAAGAAAAATTTTGATTATGATCAATTTAATAAAATGATCTATACCTCTTATTTTAAAAATATCATAATTTATTTAGAGCCTTATCGTGTATTTTGTTATTTTACTCGTCAATTGAGAAGAAAGTGTGTTACTATCATACATATGTACATGTATTTGTATATTATTGTAATTTTCGAACGAGAAAAATTATTCCGTATTGCGAGTCTCGTTTTTTCTAAAATCTATACTTATACAAAATTTATTCACTACTTTGTTTTTGATAATGAGACAAAAAATCCAAAAATCCAATTGAACCAAATGAGCAATCTTATTGGAAAAATTATATATCCATTAGAAGAACGTGGAAAATCTGATTTGAAAGTGAATAAAAAGTGAAATGAAAAAGCGATTGGGCTGTTAATAAAACTGAAACTAATTTAGTAGTGTAATACAAAAGTACAATTTTTAAAGTCATCCAATTAGTGTGATAACTTTATCTAATAAAAGCACATTAATTATGAATTTTAACAAAGGGTAGCGACACTTGTCAAAAAAAATGAATTGCCAACATGACATTGTAATGCACAAAAATACTAAATTTTTTAAACTTTTACAAAATTAGTATTTTTAAAATACGTACTTTTAAAAATACTAATTTTGTAAAAGTAAAATTTTACAATGTGAAATGCCGCCTCCGCACTTGTCATCATAAGGAATTTTTTGAATTACAAACTGGACACGTGTAGATATTGCGTTACAAAAACTAAACTTACATGATTCTATTCCACTAAAGCTATTTTAAAATTTAAATTTTTTATTGCATTACAATTCTTCTCGCATTTCTAGCGAATGCAAGTGTGCCACACCACAAGTTTAATTTTGAGTGTACAATAAAAAAGCAATATTTTTTATATAAGCACATTTTTGTAATCTTATAAAATAAAGAAAATGCTTTTAAAAATTAAATTATTTTTAGTTAAAAAAAAATCTGTTTAATTAAAAAATGCATTTTTCTGTTTTGTTATCTTAAGTAAACAATTAAAATTATAAACAAATAGGTATGCAAAGTGTATTCAAAAACAAAAATTATTTCTGTAATTAAGAAATTTTGTTAAAATTTTTAAATAAATAAATAAGCAGTACGCATTTCCGTTAGTAAATGTAAAACTTTAAAGTAAACATAACTTACAAATTTAAAAGAAACTTAAAAAATTTGTGATTGCATACTTTTTCACTCTTAATCTTTTGGTTTTTTTTCTCAACATATTTGTAAATAATTTAATTACAAATTACAATAAGAGCCCATACAAACGTCTTGTTTACATTTTAACATTATAAAGAATAAAAACTGTATTGAACACATACATACATACATATGCGAGTACAGTCGAACATGCTTATACGAACACCTTTATGGATAAAATTTTTAGTGTATATGTCAATTTCGTACTGGAGATGGCAACATGTGCATCGAAGCAATGTGTTATAATATTGAATATTCCGTAATTTACATTTTCTCAATGTTTACGCTATATGGCTCACCAAAGTCTTTTTTTTTTCAA